TTGAATAAATAGGTAATAATCCCATACTCTACTACAAATACCCTTAAATGACAAATGTTTTCTTCTAGAAGATCTATAATTAATGTTAGGTTTGAAGCAACAAACCTTAAGTTAGGTAACATGTAATTGTTATCAAATAGATTTAATTCACCTTTTTTTTTTACTGTGTATCATGTTTATAAATTAATAAGTCCAAAACTGAGTTGTGAGGCATATTGAATTAAGGCCAGTGAAAAATATAGAGGCATTCTTTTTTATAATTAATTAATTAATTTTGCAATTTGGCTACAGTTTTCTCTCCTTTCTCTCCTCCCATTCCCTTCCCTACCTCTCCTTTTGCCTGTATCTCCTAATCCACTCCTACCCTGTTTCTGTTCAGGAAAAGGCAGGTCTCCCATTGATATCCACAAACATGGCATATCAAGTTGCAGTAAGACTAAGCACCACCCTCCCCCTCACCACGTGTTTAGGCTGGGCAGAGGAATAGAGTCCCAAAAGCCAGTAAAAGAGTCAGAGAGAGCCCTTAATCCCACTATTAGAGATTGCACATGAGGGTCAAGTACACAACCTAACATATGCAGTGTGCCTAGGTCGATCCCATCTTTGAACCCCTGGGATCCCAGGTTAGTTGCTTCTGTGGCTGTTCTTGTGGTGTCCTTGACCCCTCTGGCTCCGACTGTCCTTTCTCCTCCTCTTCTCTGGGATTCCATGAGCTCCAGTTGGTCTTTGCCTATGGATTTCAGAGACACTCCTAAAAGTAAAGTTTTGTTAGGTTCACGGCTTTCCTCAAAGACATCCACTTTGTCAACCCCACTGTTTCAATAAAGTGGATACGTTGCTGAATTTCATAAGTGAATCTGAAGACGTGTGATAACATTTCTTATAGATGCCAAATTTTATGGTGGATGAATGTGAAATTTGGAAATCGTCTTACATTTTCCAATTATTCCAAGTTACCTTACTCAGAGCTCTGAAGTTCCACTGTGTTCCTTTCTTTGGGCAAACCTGGTTTCATTTTTGTGAGCACCTTCACATTTAAGTTGCCCAAGAAAAAGGAAGGATCACAAAAGGCTGTGTGAGAACTATCTTAGTGCGGATAAGGAGCCCCCCCTCCCCTCGCCATGTTGTCAAAGAACCAAAAGTCATAATTCTAAAAGTGACTTTCAATACTATATGTCACTAGCAGAGTGTTTCTTTTATAACAGCTATATAGAAATTAGAAATATGAGTTAGAAAAGCATATATAAAAGAAAAAGCTCAAAATGAAGAGTGTCCCATTTAAAAATTTAAAAAATAAAAGAAAAAATATCTTTTCACGTAGAAATAAATGAGACAGAATTCTCCAAACTTTCCATGACCTCTTAGGACAACCTGAGTACATAAAAATTTTATGAAGTAAATTCTTAATATGCAAGAGTCAACTCATAAAGACCATTGGAGAAAACAGCTTTGTATTATTAAAAATAGTTAACTTTGATATTCAACTCTCAATTAAAGGTTACAGCCAACAGGAAGGTGCATACAAGCAGTGAAAGAGAAGATGCAGTCCACGCCTCTGAAGGTACAGAAGCATTTGCGACTCCTGATGTTTCTGTTGCTAATATTGTGGCTTCTACTGTTTCTGTAGCAGTTGTTGCTGCCGCTACTTCCACTGCAGCAGACACTGCTGCCTCTGCTGCGGTAGCTGCCATTATGGCTGCTCTTGCTCCTGCTGTTGCAGCTGCTGCCTCTGCCGCTGAAAATATTAATGCTCTCGCTGCTGTTGCTCCTGGTGCTGCACCTGACAGTTCTTCTGTTCCTGTGGCTACTGCGACTGTAGCTGCTGTTCCTGCTGCTGCTGCGGCGGCCCCGGCTGCTCCAGACACCGGCGCTGCTGCTGTTGCTGCTGCCGCAGCTGCCACTGCCACTGCCACTGCCACTGTTACTTCTGTGACTTCTACTTCTATTAGTATTGATTCTGCTTCTGTTGCAGCAGTGGTTGCTGCTGCTGTTACTGCAGCAGCTGGTTCTGATGCTCCCACTGTTGCTCCTGTTGCTTCTGCTGTTGCTGCCGTTGCTGTTGCTACTGGTCCTGCTGCAGCAGCTGCCTTCGTTGTTTCTGTTGCTGCTGCTGTAGCTCCTTGTGTTGCTCCTCCTTTTATCACACAAGCTGCAGCCCCTTCTACTGTTGCTGCAGCTACTGATGCTGCGGTTGCTACTCATGCTGCTGTGTCTCTTGTTGCTGCTGCGGCTGCTGCCGCAGCTACTGCTAACTGCTGCTTTTGTTTTTCCAGGCACTCCTGCTATAACTACTGCAGCTAGATCTCTTGCAGTAGCAGATCTTCCCGATGCTCCTTCTCCTGTACCCACTACTCCTGTTTCAAACAGATTTATTCTAATGACAATAAAGTGTGTAGAAGATAGAAAACCACATCCTGCTGTTGAGGAGACAGAGAAACATGATGGGTAAGGCTAGGAAGAACTGAACCGAGGTATTGTTCCTGCCCTGTACATTAATTCTACTTCTTGATAATGTTCATGTCCAACATGAGGTTTGTCTAGGGATAATCTTGGACAGCCAACAAGCAAACCAGGACAAATAACATTAGGTAATATTGTATACCATTAACATTGATGAATTTTGTTTAAAATATTATAACCTGGGTGTCAAATGTGAGGCAAAAGAAATTTGGAAACCAGTATATATATCAGTTTTAAGCCATAATATGGTAACAATGATTCATTTAAAAAATATCACAACTTTGATCTAACAATTTCACTTTGAGGATGGGCTCTTTTGGAATAGAAAAAAATGTTTTTAAGCATAACCATAAACACTCTGATAATATATCATAGGTAAATTAGACAAGATGCACATAAATGTGATACATATTAAACATAATTGAAGAATGTTTAATATACAGGCTTTGAATGTGTGTGTAGATGCATGCACAAGAAACAAGGAAATTTTTTCTGAATACTTGTCCTAAGGGTGAGATGTCTCCAGATTAAGGGCCCATGTATGTTCCCTCCCATCTGGGGTTCAGGTGTAAGTATGTATCCTGGAGTAACTTCAGAAACCTGAGAGTAAATTAGGACTGTCAGCTGTGTAGGAGGATTGGGGATTAGTAATGAAGAGAATAGTGGAATATAAGATATCAGATCAGGACAATGAGAAAGAGGGGACCTCTAATTAAGGAAGGGAAAGAGAAATACGGCAGAAGAAAAGCGGCAGTAAAATAACAGTAAGGATTCTAAAAAAAATAATAAGGAATTAACTATATATCTGAAAAACTATATTACACATAAGTTTGTGTATAAATATATAAAGAGTTAAAATGAACTTTTTTCTTCTGAGATGATAATTACCTTCCATGAGCCAAAGAATTCCTAACAAAACCCCCAAGATCACGCATGAGAAGCCCCTTTTAAGGTGTTGATCAGAATTGTCCAAGGAATCTTAGTCTTTTAAATATTAACATGACTAGTGCTATTGCATTTGGCTGCTGCCCAGAGGTAAGTTTCTAGTGCTGAAGGTACCATGCACTTCAAGATGCAGGACCCAGAGGCTTCTGAGCTGGAACTCATTGATAAGTAGTTCCCATGATACCATGCAATCTTTCAAAAATTATATATTAAAAATAAATGCATATATATGCATGAACAATAACAAAAAAGATGCAATGAATTTGTAACAATACAAAAAGAGCCATAGGGGAGGATTTGAGAGGATATTGAAGGGTTAAATGATGTACATATGTAAACTCAAAAATAAGATCATTAAAAATAAAATAAGAATAAACTTGGTGTGGTAATTCATATTCCATAGTATACATACTACTATGATTTCTTTGTTTTGACTGTCAGAAAATTTATCAAAATTATTTTTTTTAAATTTTATTAACACTGAAATTATTTTCCATTTTCTATTCTATTTATTACTAAATTGTACTTATAGAAGATATTATGTGATAGTGTATATGTATATATATATAAACTTTACAAATTGGCATAAACAGTTATAAGGCATATTCTATGAATACCTAATCATTTTAGATATTAGTTTTTTATGTGTTAATTTTATCTAAAAATATGTTTTCTATTGTAGGGACAAAAAGAGCAAATCTAAGAAAAAATTTAAGGTGCTGTTTAAACAGGTATTAATTTGTTCAATATATTTATGAAACACAGGAATGTATTACAAAATTATAACAATATTTAATTGAAAAATTAGGTAATGCTGATTGTAATAGCGCTTACCTGGAGTCTCAGCAGTCACGAGACTAAAGCTGGAGGATTGCCATTAGATCCTGACTAACCTGAACTCATTTATAGGTTCCAGGCAAGGCTAAAAGACAGAAAAAGAAGAGTCTGAAAAAGAAGGGTAAAATCTGTAGAACTTTTTTGTTGTTTAAATATAGTATATTTGAATGTTTAAGAAGGTAGCTATTGTAAAATGCCTTGCAAATTGGTAATTTCAAGAGGTATGTTTTTCTCTGATTATAAAAAAATGAATTATCCCCTTTGTAGACAGTATTGTTTATCTTATAGGTCCCAAAGTCGGCAAAAGACTTACATGATCTTATTGACTCGACTCAAATAAATGGATCCTGTTCAGCAGAATGTGAGTTTCCAATAACATTGCATGAATATAAAGTTGTTTATGTATTGCAATACATGTACACACACTGCTTGGAACTGCCTGTGGAGCCCTGCTGAGTCGTCATGCTCTTCATACAAGAATTATCCTTGAGCTAACATAAAATGAAAGCACTGTATACTCTTTGTCAGATGCTATGGGCATGACCAATGCCTCCTCTTTACTGACTCTGATTATTCCCTGTGTCTTCACACTTTTGAGATCTTGTTATCTCCACATAGACCAGCAGTAAATCTAGAACCATCTTTCTTGCTACCAAATCTTCTGAAATCTCTGTCACATGTCTATGTACTACTATATATTTATTTAAAAGAATGAAATTTGATTTTTCTTGTCTCTCATTTAAAAATCAACTGTCACTTCTAAGTGCTAGATTAGGAAACATTTCACTCTTCTATCTTCATCCCAGGCAGGTGACTACTGACTCCAACTTCCCTAACCCCAATATCTTTAGTTTGGTTACTTCCTGCCTGCCTACTGGCAAATCAAGAGTTTTTAAAAGCCAATTTGAGTGATAAATCTTTATAATGTACAAGAGGATCATTTCACAGCACTTGCCCCTTTCTGTCTAATTAAACTTTTTACCTTTAACAAAGTAAAATTTTATATAACAAAAACAGTTATCAAGTAAGAATTACAGTTAGAGTATCCAGTATATTTGTATTTTGCAAATTAGAGAAAATATTCTATTATCTGTATTGTCTTAGTGAGTCTAAAGTTTTGAATTTAAATTACTTTATATTATAAATAAGGAAAACTATTATAACTATTTAGTCTTCAACTCCATCAAAGACCCCAGAAGGGTGAAAATTTACCTAACAACAGGGACATCTCATTACCTGAACAATCACCCAAAGTTCTTCAGTAATGTTCAGTCATGTATCTTTGGCCTACAGGCCTAGTATATCTGACAGACTTTCCTGTGAAGTAGTAAATTCTAAAGGGCTATCCTACCTTGGTAAAGTTTTGCAGTTCCTTTTTTTTGTTATGCTTGTCCAGTTTGTACAATAGCTGTCATCAATTAGAGTAAAGGCAGTTTCTTTGATCATATGGCTATATTTTGCCATAAAGAAAACAAACTCCACATGGAGTTTCTTTGATGCTCATTATCTCTGAAGTACATTGGTGCTACCAGACATAGAGGTGTCTCACTGTCATGAAATCCTTAAGTTGTTAAACATATTAAATGTCATATTATGTATATCATTGAAATGTTTTAAGACCATCTATCTGAACATATCTATATGATCTTGCAAACATGCCTAACATGACTACAATTTTGACTATTATAGATTACTATTAACCTGTATTTCTTAATTATATATTCATTTTTAAATGAGATGTATAAACATAAACTTTAAACAAGAGTGTGATATACATACAGTATAATGAAATTATCTTTAAATTTTATCAATAAGTAAAAATCCATATCAATGCAAAATATTTAAGATTAATAGCTGTTTCGGATTAGATTCAGTAATCTACCCATTTATTCTACAATTTCCATACCACCCCGTTCAGCTTTTTTCAATTTCCAATAACAACCTGTAACCAACCCCTTAAAGAATAACAAACATCTATAGCCTATTTTAGGCAATGTGGATGTAGTTTTTGAGACTATTTTCTGCTTATTGGTGTCACTGGTAATCTTTTTGGGACCCCATGAAAATTTAGAATTTTAATCCAGCCCTGACTGGAGTACTCTGTGAATCTAGATCATATCAGCCAGCAGTCTTGAAGCTGTTCTGCATGTAGAACACAGAGGAAAATGCAACAGAGGTGCTCTAAAACATTGGATCATCAGTGTCATTCGTTTCCATCAGAGATTTTTCAGGGAGTCATTCTCAATCAAATCATATTTTTCTTAACACAGAAAGAACCCACAGTCTCTCATTCCCTGTGGGAACAAAGGCAAAACATTTTGTCCAAAGTAATATAACTATTGACTTAAATTTTGAGGTCAAGATATTTTTAAAATATACATGCTGGTTTAATATAGCAGCTTTCATAACGAAATGACTCTCAGCACACATCCAATTAAAATATGGAGTTATAGACCTTAGTCCAAAAAGGTACACCTATAGAAAAATTGAGAAAGAGGGGACAGAAATGGTTTAAGAGTCAAATAATTACGCTGTTTGCTGTGATACTGATTCTCCTAGTTATATCAGAAGCTGCACCATACAGTCTCACAAACATTACATTACAACATAACATTCAACGAGAATTTAATGGAACTAATTTTTGAATTATGATCACCACAGGTTCCCCTGTGGTTTACAGGATTAATGTTCATGCAGAACATAGCTAATTTATCAGAAAGTACAGCTGATTGCAGTAATGGTCTGTCCGAGGCTTGTACCTAGTTCAGGCTATAACTGTCAATTCAAATTTATATTTGAATTTCACTGTCCTCAGTATCCTTGTCTAACTTACAAAATCTGCCAAATATCCTGTAAATTATGAACTTATCTAGCTCAGCAAATAGGATTCTTCCTGCTACTATGTGAACATGGCTGTAGCTTTATGTGAACATTTCAGGTGCTTTCACCTCAGACCCAGGAACACTTGTGGTCATTTCTGTGCTAAATATTTGAGGACCCTTTGCAAATATGCAGAATTCTTTCTCTGCATTGTTCTTTTCTCTGTTAGTTTAATTCCCTTGGCAAAAACTTCATTAGTTTTAAGGTATGATCAGCTTCATTGTCTTAGAGCTGGGAGCCTGAGCAAATGTTTGGTATGGTATCCAGGGCTGTGGGAGAGTTGGGAAAATGCCCTGGCAATAATTTTAACCACAAACCCAGAAGTTTTTTTTTTTTTTTCATTTGTGACATGTCCATGCCATGTAGTTCCAGAAGAATGAAAACTGAAAATGTTTCAGTCTTATCCTCCTATTGCTGAGTCTATAGACAGGGAGCATAATTTCTTTCTCTTTGTTCCCTGACCTGCAATGGTCCATTTTTCTCTATCATAGTCAGAAATACATTGCTCAAACTTCAGTATGTTCTCTATATTGGCATAGATGTGTCTTACTTGCTGTGTGTCTTTTTTTATGCCCTCGTTTTTGTTTCCATATTCAGCCCTCTTTCCCCCTGGAATTAGTGATGGGGCTCAGTGCACATTAATTCTATTAGTTGATATGAAAACTCAGCTTTATTACAATGCTTATCAGGAGTCATAATGGATATTTATCTGCTCTATTGCTAGACTTTGAGTAATGTTAGAGATCTAGTTTGTTTCTTCTCCAGAACTTAGTATAATGAGTGCTGTTTTATCATAGAATATGCTTATTTATTTTATTTTTATGTTTGCTTTTTCATACAGATCCTGGGAGCTCCTTAAAAAGTACACCTGCATTTGATTTATATAAATATTTAGAAGAACTTAAGGAAACCTATGTTCAACTACTCTTTAAAAAAGCTAAATTGAAAAAGAAATTATCTAAAGCAAAAGAAAACTCACGGTTAGAGGAAAATCTTGTAGCAGAGAAAGAAAGAAATTGTATTTTGAGGTATAACACTATAGTCCTTTGTAGTACACTTACTCTATTTATACTGAAGACTGGCAAAGGATTTTGGAAATTTCTTAGTTTCCTTTTGGCATTTTGCAATAGAGATGGTAAATGGATTTTGACAATTTCTTAGTTTCCTTTGGCATTTTGCAACATAAAATTTCTATTTTTAAAGGGCAGAAGAAATTTTTAGAAATAATAAATCCACTAAATAATCATTAATATTTTTAATTTCTTTGTCTCATACATTGATAACTGAGTATATACGCCTTTTAAAATACCAATGCAATATGTATATGGAGCCAGCCTACCACAATTACACATTTGTATTAGATAAGTAGGATTTTATGTGGCATTTTGTTATGTATCATAAATTTTTCTATAAGAAACAAAATTGAGGTGAATAATTTCCACTATTTCGAACTTTTTATAATTAATGTTTCCCATGCAGAAATTTGTTGAAATACTTAGAAGCTCAAAATTATTTTGATTAATATTTTTGAATTTTTCTCCTGAAAAATTATGATCATTCTTTTTTTTAATTTATAAAAGTTTATTAATTTATAAAAGTTTCCATTTCCGCCCCTCTTCCCAACACCCTCCCACTCCCCCCACTCTCTCTGCTCCTCCCTCTCCATCCCTAAGAGCAGTCAGGGTTTCCTGCCCTGTGGGAAGTTCAAGTTCCTCCCCCTTCCCTCCAGGTCTAGGAAGGTGAGCTTCCAAAGAAACTGGATCCCAAAAATCCAGTATATGCAGAGAAAACAAGTCCCAGTGTCATTGTCAATGGCTTCTCAGAAAGACCCCGTGCCAGCCACATTCAGAGAATCTGGTTGGATCACGTGCTCGTTCAATCCCAGTCCAACTGGCCTTGGTGAACTCTCATTAGATCAGTCCCCTTGTATCAGTGGGTGAACGCACTCCTCACGGTCCTGCCTTTCTTGTTTATGTTCTCCCTCCTTCTGCTCCTCATTTAGACCTTGGGGGCTCAGTCCAGTGCTCCAATGTGGGTCTCTGTCTCAATCTCTATCCATCAACGGGTGAAGGTTCCCTCTGATCTTGCCTTCTTTGCTCACGTTCTCTTTCCTTCTGCTTCTCGTTTGGACCTAGGGAGTTAAGTCCAGTGTTCCAATGTGGGTCTCTGTCTCTATCTCCATCCATCGCCAGCTGAATTCTTATTAAGTGGTGTCCTGGGTTTTCTATTGCTATGAGAGACACCATGACCAAAGGAGCTTGCTTACCATTTCAAAGTCTTAGTCCATTATCATCATGGCTTGGAACATGGTGGCAGGGAGCATGGTGTCATACAAACAGATGCTAAAGCTGTATCTGAGAACTGTACTTCCTGTTATGGGGGCAGAAAAAAGAAAGTAAAACTGGGTCTGGCACGGGCTTTTGAAACCTCAAAGCCTACCCTCTGTGACAGACTTCCTCCAATAAAGCCAAACCAATTTGAACAAGGCCACCCCTTAAGCATTCGAATCCTCAAACAATTCCACTGCATTCAAGTATATGAGCCTATGGGACCCATTCTTGTTCACATCATTACTAGTAATTATTTTAATCTGTTAACAAATTTAATACATATTTTGGGTGATGCTTTGTATCAAACTTAGTACCTTACATGTAGTAGGCATCTCTCTGTTTAGGCGTATTCAAGTAATGGTTAAATTAACCAATTAAATTCTATCAATTAAAGAGAAAAAAGAGTAATTTAAGTCATTTTCTTTTAAAAGCATATTGATGTTTATTATTATGATCACCATTACTTGCTATTAAAATTACCCAAATGAATTATTAAATTGATCATAAAATACATAACAGCAAAGTAAGTAGAAATTGTGTAAAACGGATACATGAAAAGCATGCTCATAGATATTAGGTTGTGTATTTTTCTTTAAAGTTTAGAATATAGAGTAAAATGAAAACTCAGTGTATAAACTTTTGGAAATGTTATAAGCAACTTATGAGCATCCAATTTATAAAATGAACATTTTGTTTTCTGACTAGAGTAATTCTAAGATTAGCTTATTTAACCACAGATCATTCATAAAAGAGCAAATAAAGTTGATAAGCAAAATAATTTGTGATTATAATGAGTCTGAAGAGGCTCTGAGAGAGGAAGAAGAGATGACTGAGAGAAGAGAGCAATGCAACAGACAAGTTACAGAGACACATGAACTTGAAATATGTCAGAAAACAAGAGATGTGGTGTTAAAGCAGGTAATTAATCTTTAAGGAAAATAGTATTGCAACATTTGCCCACTAATATGTTAATATGCCTTGATTTAATAATATTTGAATTTTTAACAGATATGTAAACAAAAAAATTTTTCTTTGTCAGTTTCATCACTATGTAAACTGATGTAGGATGGTCTTCTATCTATCTGTTGTTTTCATTAGTTAATTAATAAAGAAAACTGCTTGGCCTGATAGGTCAGAACATAGGTAGGTAGAGTAGACAGAACAGAATGCTGGGAGAAAGAAAGTAGAGTCAGGCAGATGCCATGGCTTTCCTCTCTAAGACGGAATTGGGTTAGAATCTTCCCAGTAAACCAAGACCTTGTGGTGATATACAGATTATTAGAAATGGGTTAATTAATCTGTGAGAGTTAGCCAATTAGAGGCTGGAGGTAATGGGCCAGGCAGTGTTTAAAATAATACAGTTTCTGTGTAATTATTTTAGGGGTAAGCTATCTGGGATCCAGGTGGGAATGCAGCCCTCTGCTCCGTCTATAGCAAACAATTAGTATATACACAGAAAACCTTGGGAAATCTACCATGCTGGTATCTTTGCTTCTGGCTTCCCAGACCCAAAATAACCACACACAAACTATATTATTAAAATCACTGTTTGGTCTATTAGCTCTAAATCTTACTGGCTAGCTCTTATATCTTAATTTAACCCATTCCATTAATCTGTGTATCTCTACATGGCTGTGGCTTACTGGATAAAGTTCCATATTGCATCTGACATTTGTTTGTGGCAGGACTACATGACTTCTCCTAAGTCTGCCTTCTTTTTCCCAGCATACAATTTAGTTTTCCCTGCCTACTTCTATTCGGCCCTTTCAGGCACAAGTCAGATTCTTGATTAACTAGTGGTATTCTCAACATACATAAGGGAATCCCACCTTTGCTTTTCTGTCTAAATAAAAATGGTTTTAACATTAATGTAGTAAAATTACATATAACAAAACAAGTATTAAGCAAGAATGACAACTACAATATTTACATATACTTTATCTTTTTTCATAACTAAGGAAAACTATAATTATCTATTCAACTCCATCAAAGATTCCAAAAGGATAGAATATTACCTAAGTTAACAGAAAATATATTGTAAGAAACTTCCAAAACTCTAGAATTGACAGAGACATCTTGCTACCTGGACAGTCACTTAAAGTTCTTCTGTATCATTGCTAGCCCCTATCTTCAGAGTACTGACGTATAGTATCAGGCAGACTTTTTCATGAACCAGGAAATTTTAAACATACTTCTGCCTATACTGGCAGTTTGTCAGTCACTTTCTTCAGTGTTCTTCAGAATGTCTGGCAGAATCTTTCATGAAGCAGGAACCCCGATGAATCATCTCACATTTATGCAAGTTCAGCAGTCATTTTTCTCTTGGTCCTGCATGTTCAGTTTATACAGCATAATATCAAGCAGTCCAGGCAAAACCAGTTTCTTGCCCAAATGGCTAACCAATGCCATAAGGAGCCCCTTCCATGTGTATCATCCTCTTAAAGTAGACTGATTGCCGCCAGGAGCAGATGTGTCTCATTGTCATGAAAGGTCTGAGTTTTTAAAACATTTTACAATATTCTGTAGTCTTTGAAAGGTTTGAAGAATATCTAACTGAAGTATATCTCTATATATCTAGACATGACTACAAGCTAGACTATTATAGATGTTTATTAACCTATATTCCTTAATTATACATTACATTATTAAGTGACCTGTACAAATCAATAACTTAATCAAGAACAGAAATATACATATAAAAATTGACCTAAAATTTGTATCAATAAACCAAGATCCATACCAATGTAAAATATTTATCTGTATAACACATTCTCCTTTAAATGTAAACAAACATTTATAAGCAATATTTGGGGATTTGGGCATAGTTCTTTTCAAACTGTTTCCTGCTTTTTGTTGGGCAAAGTAATTTTGGGGGGAGTATACAGAAACATTTTGGGGGATCTTGGTCAATCAAACCACACTAGCTTGGATTGAATCCACAGGTTCTCATCTTCTGTGGGAATAGAATCATGTTTGATGCCTCTGATACTGTATGGTGGGAGCCATTCTCACCACCTCACATCTGGGAAGCACTGTGCAGCATATAAACCATGTTTATCTGAGTAAAAGCTAAATCTGCCACGCAACACATAGCATGGCCTGGAAATATCTCTGTGTATTGCATTGGGAATCTGCTACACTCTCTTGCCTTTGTATGCCTAGCAAACCTGATTCTGCTGCCTGCCCAGGTGGTGAGTGCTGAGCTGTGGACATGGTTTCAGCTTGTTTCCTACTGGTGCCAAGTGGGCTCATACACATCTAGACCCAAAGTGGGTGCCTGGGATCAGCTCCAAACTTTTCAGATAACATTGGTGTGCCAATCTGTTGAAGTTAAAACCTTCCATTTTATTTAAACAGAAAAGGGGAAATGATGTGGGAAGTTCTTCTGTATATGTGTTGGTTTTATTAGTTAATGAATAAAAAAGCGGCTTTCTGCCAATGGCTTAACAGAATATATCCAGGCTGGAAGAGAAATATATATAAAGGGAATAGACAGAGTCAAGGAGAGGCCATGTAACTGCCAGAGGAAAAAGACGTGAGCCATTGGTTTGAACCTTGCCAGTAGGCCATGAACCTTGTCATAAAATATAAAATATGAATGGGTTAACTAAAAATATAAGAGCTAGTTAGCCACAAGATTAAGTGATTGGCCAAGCAGTTATTTAATTAACATAGATTCTGAGTAGTTATTTCAGGTCTGGGAATTTGGAAACAAACAAGTGGCCTCCGTACAACAAGAGACCAATTTGTTCACACACTCAAGAATCTCATAAAAACACTGAAAGACATATTAAATAACCAGAGGATGTGGACAGGCCTTGCCCATACTGCCTCAGTTTATGTGAGTTCATATGAGATTTGGTCAAGTTGATATACAAGGTCTTGTTTTCTTTATTTCCTCCATCTTCTTGGCTCTTGTACCATTTTTTTCTTTCTCTTCCATGGGGTTTCCTGAACCTTGAGTGGAGAGAACTGATGGAGACACCACATTCAGGACTGTCTGTTCTAATGTCTGTCACTCTCTGCATAATGTCTGACTGTGGATCTCTGCATTTGTTCCCATTTTTCACACTAGGAAGCTTCTCAGATGATGTCTGTGCAAGACATCAATAACTTGTCCTTCTGGGTCTGGGATATTTCACCCAGAATGATTTTTTTTTGTTTAGTACATTTACTAGGTTTGTTTATCCCCTAATTCTTATGGAAACACAAAATACCCAAAGTTATTCAAAGCATTAATATCAGTGCTTGAAAAAATATATCTGGTTTTAGATTATAATAAAGGACATAGTAACAAAATGATGTGATTGTCATACAAAAAGGCATGTAGAAAAGTGTAATCAAATAGGAGACACGGAACTGTAGAAGGAGATTACTCATTCATTTTCCAGCCACCCAGACAGAAAAAAAGTCACACAGAAACTATATTAATTCCAACACTGCTTTGGCAATGACTTTAGTGTATTTTACTATGAAACAAAGAACTGTCTCTGTCTACAGAGAACTGGTAGACAGAACCCTGTTTACTATAACAACCTGTTTAGACTTTTTGTTGTTTTAACTGAGAGATCCCACAACCATGCTTTTGAGATGGCAGATGTTTTCAAACACAGTGTTCTGTCTGCATAAAGTGGACATCTGCATGAAGGGAAATGAAAATCTCTTCATTTTCCTCTCCCTGTAAATGAATCAATTAAACAGACCGATCACCACAATGTCAAATATGAACCTCTGGGCTTTGAATGCCCCAATTCCAATAGGTCAAAAAATGTTAGAGAGAATTGACAACAGGATTAGCACAAAGGAGCAGAATACAGGAACAACAAATGAGCTAGAAAAAATGTGAACTAAATATATAAGAGGGAGATAGTTTATTGAAAATATAAGAAGTTTGGAATTTTAATACTAAGTGAGTAAAAAAAATCCAGCTCAGTTCTCAAAACCAGAACCACAAGGGAAAAATATGACTCAGCTTTGACATATTTCCAAAGACATCTAAGTTAGTACTCCCCAGCAATACCTGAACACCCATCTTTGTTTCAGTACTACTCACAATTGCCAAGATATGAACAAAGATAACACATCCATCAACAAAGGAATGGACAAGTAAAACAGTATTGTGTTCACAGGAACTTTATCCAGATGTAAAATACAAGGATCTACCATTTCAAGGAAAAATGCACGGAACTGGTTATTATTATGTAAAATGAAATAAACAAATTACAAAGAAAACATTAATACTTTCTAATGTACAGAATACACCTCTAAATAATATATATTGGGCTTGGTGTAGGGGGTATGTGCATAAGAAGTATAGCATCTAAAGATAAGGAGAGCATCAAAGAAGCTTCTTTTCACAGTGCATGGTAATTAACAGAGAGCCTCAACTGGAAAATGTACAGGGAATGAGGTTTTAGGGCACTCAGTCATAAACTGATGTGGGATGTCAATCTGTATATGTGTTGTTTTATTTGGTTAATGAATAAAGATATTTTGGTCAATGGCATAGAAGAAGAAAAGCAGGTAGGAAATCTGAACAGAGAGAGAAAGAATAGGCAGGGTTGAAAGAGACTCCATATAGCCGCTGAGGGAGTAACATACCACACAGGTAAGCAACAGCTTCATGGTAATTCACAGTTTAACAAAAACTGGATAATTTAATAGTTAAAGCTAGCCAATAAGAAGCCTAAGACATGGGCCAGACAATTGTAACAATAATAAACCTCACAGTGGTTATTTCATAAGCGGTTTTGGAAACAGGTAAGCAGAAAAATAATAGTTCAGGGAAACCAGTGGGACAGAAAATGCTTCTAGCTACAATAAATGGGATGTCTTCATCAAACCCCTCCACCAACACTGGGGACCTATGCAGAAGAGGAGGCAGAATGAGGTGGTGGATAAACTACAATATTTTCCAGACAGAACACAGGTTATGCACATATGAACTCACAGAGACTGTAACTGCATGCACAAGACTGCTGAGGTTCTAACCAGAAAAAAATTCTGACACTTAAGAGATGGAAGCACACATTCTCACCATCATCAAAAAGATTTTAATGATTGACACATAGTTGGGAAGAGAAAATAATTTCTCTCCTGTAGAATGTCACTGAGTATATCAAACAGTCTACATGCCCAACCAAAGTTCAAAGTTGCCAACACAAAATGGACTCTATGTGTGTGTGTGTGTGTGTGTGTGTGTGTGTGTGTTCACTTTCTGTTTTAGTTTGGTATTTTTCATCACATTGATTTTATTTTCCTTTATCTGTTTTGAGTTCCATTTCTTTTGTCTGCAGTTTTTCTTGTGTTCTTTGCTTTGAGTGAATGAGGAAAAGATGAAGTTGGGTAAATGGTAGAGTAGGATGTAATATGGGATTATTTGGGGAAGGGGAAAGAATATGATTGAAATATATTGTATTAAAGAAATTATACAAAATGATAAAATAAAACTGATATGACAGAATAAGAGTGCAAAGTAAACTAGTAAATTATTAAGATAGTTACATATTTTTCTCATGTAAAGAGTCAAGAGAAACTTGTTTTGTAGTGTGCTTGCAATGCTTTCCTATCAGTGGTTTTAGCTACCTCTGAAGGTCATTCCATCTACACACAAGTTAATAAATGACATAGTATGCAGCTTTTTTTAAGGGAAACTTATTTTGGATAGCTGATACCTAGATCCCTATGTTGTGATACATGTACTAGAAAATAAAGGAATGAAATTTCCATCGGCTAGTGGAATTAGTGAAAGTTGCATGCAGAGCTGGACACATATCTTCCTCACTATTCTAATGGTATTAAGAATGAATCAGTTTGCTTAGATAGAGGAATTCCGTCACTGTATCACACGAAAATAAAAATGTGTGTATTGCATGTAAAACTTCTCAATACTGAAGAGCTGTAGATATGGTTACCATTTGCATTTTACTGATTAATAAAACCTGAGACAGGACCTAAACTTGTTTCAGAACGAACATCTTGTAGTAATTGAAGATGGGATTAAGGATCACACATTCACATTCAGGCAACAGTGTTTAAACACCTCGCTCACATCCTTCAATAAAATATCTAATTATTGCAAAGAAATCTCATGTCAGGCACTAGAAAGACAGCACAAAATGTTTACAAGCAGGCAGAAAGACTTATGTTCAGTCCCCTGTACCCATTAAAAACAGACATGATGGTGCCTGCTGTGATCACGGCTCTGGAGAGGCAGCAACAGATTGCTCTTGAGAGTTTACCAACCAGCCTCACCTACTTTTTCAGTTCCATACTTGATATAAAGAAAATAAAAGACAAAGCTCCCAAAAAACACTTCAGATAGTCTTCATTTACAACTGTGATCTTGCCACCTAAATACACCCATGCATTACACAATATTATGTCAATATTTACCATTGCTGGTATAGCTTTGGTCATATGTATGTATTTGTATATATATGGATATATATACAATTTTTTAAATTAAAATGACTGTGTAATCCTTGTAAATCAAAATCACAAAGGCCACAAGGGCCTTTCCCCTTTCATTTTTGTCAGCCTCAATATTTGATTAAAGCTGAAATAGAAATGTAAGGAACTGTAGTCCTTTAGCAGCATTAGTTCATTTTTATGAACAGTGAGGCCATATTACTTCCTGCTCTGTGGGTTGGGAGAATCCTGTTGCAACAACTAAATTAAACCTGTAGTGGTAGCATCAAAACATCCATAAAGTATGTGTATAAAAGGGTCTTCCCTTATTTTTATAAAAAGCCTCATCACATAAATAGATGATAGCTCAGTTTATATCAAAGTATTTGATGGCTCAATTTGTATCAAAGTATTAATTAAATTATTTTTTATCTTTCATTCAGCTACAAAAAGAAAAAGAATATGTACAGAGGATGGAAGATCACATACACAAGTAAACTTTAAATTGGCATATATTTATATAGAAAATAAATAATATGAAACTTGTATTAACTTACAGTTAATATAAAAACACCGTAAAACTGTTAAATGTTTCTCAAAATTCACAACACAGAGTTTGGGAAGTAACTCAATAGTATATCATGGCTCTGCATCCATGATATACTATGTGGAATATTAGTTCCAGAATAGTACCAACCATAAAAATATGTAATTTTTATGTACCTACATCTTGTTTATTCTTTTATAAAAAGCTCAAAAGTGGTACAATTTCTTCATCGTGGACATTTGATATATTTCTTTTATAAAGTCACTGTTTCATATGAGAATACAAATGTTATGTGTTGGTTTGTGTGTGTAAGAATGAGTGTGTGAGCAATTAGAAAAGGGACTGAAAGAAGGAATAGAGAGTTCTAATGGGAAATAAGAAGGAATTAACACAGGATTAGGGAAAGGGGGGAAGGAGATGGTTTTTGAATGGCAAATAAGAATAAAGTATAATAGACTTCTGTGAAAATCTTGCAATGAAACACATTGTTTGACATGTATGACATCTAAAACTTAAAAAGTAAAATAACGTGGCATTTAAAATTGGTGTGTGAAAAAATATTCCAAAATATAGTTGAATATCTTTTAGGTTAAAACTAGAAAATACCTCATTAATGGCTACAGCGAAGAACCAAAAGGAAGAAATAGAACATCTGCAGAGACATCTGCAAGACAAACACGAAGGCCTGGAACCCAGTCCCAGTTTGGTATGTCAGTTTCATGTTAATCCCTTTCTGGCAATGAAAAGAAATACTTTAGGAAACATATGAAATATCTCCCTAAAAATATTTTAATGTTAAACAATTTTGTGCATAGAGAATGTTTTAATCTGCCTTCTAATACCTTCACTTTAATTCTTTTCTCATTACTTTTACACTTTCATTACTTTTT